ATGTTAATCAGAGAGAGAAACTCGGCCATCTTTGTCTTGTGATAGCTTTTTCATGAGTTCGCTATAACTGTGTTTTGATGGCGAAAAATGTACACGAGTTTTTTACAACACCCTATAGCTAGCATACATGTGTACTTAATCTATACTAATATTATTAAGCAGAAGAGTTTGTAGTTGTTTGTTTGAATGCGCTAATCTCCGGAACTACTGTTTCGAATTAAACAATTATTTTTGTTTTCGTTAGTCCATTTATCGAAGAAGGTTATAAATATAAAACATTACGCTACGATGTGTGGGAGCAGCGGGTGAAACCGCGCGAGAGTAGCTAGTAATTCGAATAAAATAACTGCAAATCTCATATTTAGTACACATGTATATCAGCGATAAAAATGAAGAAAGTTGATTACTGAAGGAGCGATAATGCCTCTATTGTTTGCCTGTAGACCGTAGCTGAGGGTAGGTGTAGTATCGTGCGCGCTCCGAGGATAATTAGTCTGCCGCAGTGTTTAACATTTTTTCTATAACACCACAGTAAACGTTTTTACATTATAATTGTGTGACCTACTTGTTGATTGTTAGTGGGAAAGTTCATGTTTTAGTGGCTTTGAAAAAATATCCGCGATATACGTACGCTGTTTCGTGTTAAAGTGAAGACGTTTAGATCAATTTGGAAATTTCTTTACTGGTAAGATAAGGCTTAGCAATATGTAATCATTTTAGAATTTAAATTCAGAACGAGGAATAAGATCAGTACGAAGATGATGTAGATCCTAATTCCTAATACAATATTGACAAAAAGACTTCAAAATGGTTTGGTGTTATACATGTAAAGTACACGTACTAGGAATAATTTAACATTTCATGAAAATGATATAATTCTTATACCTGAAATTTGTGTGAAATCTATTTCTGTTCCGGCTGCGACTGACAGTCAACTGACAGCCGTGAAATGAGGTAAACTTGTATAAGTTATAAACTTTGGACAGATATTTCACCTGTATTTATTTATTTATTTATTTAATAATTTTTGTACACACAGTAAGTATTTTTGAATATCAAAGAAAATAACCGGTCTATTTTGTAGAAAACTTATAATTTCAAAGTATAATGATTAAAATACAATTATTCCTTAAATAGGTAATAAATTGGTTTAATACAACTATTCGTGTTAAAAATATTACTTATTAGAAAAAATAGCTATTATTTCTCGCTGATGTCTCAATTTCAACAATAAATTAAATAATAAGTGAAATATAAACATGCTTCAAGTGGTTCACAACATACCTGGTGCTACTCTCAGATTATTACAGATAGAACATATCTCGCGGAAATTATTGCGATTTATACCCATGTATAGAGTGCTTCTTTAAGCCGACGGCGTGTAGCGTTCCGCGCGTGCCTCAAAGAGCCACCACAGACAGGTCCCTATAGGGCTGATGTTCAGCCGGGGTTGCGGGGTAAGCGCAATGAGGCACCGCGACCTCGGCCTAGAGCAGGAGAAGGAACGGGGGTTTTTCAGTCAGTAAGAGTCTGATACTCTCTCTTGCCTTATACCCTGGGCGGGAGAGGTCATTAAATGATTTTTCCCTGACAAAAAAAGTGCTTCTTTAAAGGTTAAAGTGAGTAAGTTTTAAGCTGAAGCTACGTATTAACTATTAAAAGCAATATGAATAAAATATAGTACTTTATAAATATTTCCCTAAAACCTTTATTTTAAAACGGTGAGCTTAAAAAGTAGTTTCGCTAAACGAGGCTCGTGTTTGTGAGTGCGGAACAAACGACCGCCACAGCCCCCTTCATACGTGGAGTGTCGTAAATAGCACGCGCTCCCCTAGTTTTAAAATGTTCGTTATTTACTACATACGAATGTGTGTACTTTGTAGTAATGCTTGAGCTTTTTACACATAATAATTTAAACACTAGAGTCGGTCTTTAGAACCGGTTGTACCATCTGCAGTTTTATAAGATTTCTTTCGTTTTTCGCCCCCTTTTTTGACCCCTTGCAATTATTGTGATGACTTTCAATTTCTCTCAAAACTTCGCCCAATAAATTAAAAGGCTCCGAAAAACAACTGGTACATTTTTCGTTACAAACCTTTCTATATACAAAAAGATGGCAGCGGTGACTAGGGAACGCTTAAACCCGATTCCCGCAAACTGTATGTTTATATCGTGTCTGTTTGTCCCTGGTCTTCCATCCGTAACTTTTACTACAAACAAGTTTGTTCCAAGGATAAATACGGATTCCGTATACAAGGATCTAACTCACCAAGTTGTAGGGTTTGCGACAAGACGGCCAGTGAATATCGATTCGACCTTGAAAGATAAAAGGACCAGGGTAAAAAGAAATGGCTACTCTTTGTTTCTTTAAATGCAAAACAGCCTCTTAGTTCTAAGATCTTAATTAAGTGTGCAAATTGATTATAATTTTCTTCTTATCAAAATACATTATTTTCATTAGCATTTAATTAGTTTAGTTCCAATTTTTTATAGTTATTGTTCTTCTAAACCGTTTATACTAATGGTATTTCCAATTCTAATCCCATAAGTAATTTTTTGTTACCGAGAATTTGCTTCTATTGGCTCTATCGATTGTAAAGCTTTTGTTACGTTGCTAAGCAACCATACACTCTTGACGTATATTGATACCGATTCCTAGAAAACGTTGCCTTTTTTCTATGCGGTTTTTTATATTATTTGTAACCTGTTAAAATGCCAATAGAGTCAGCTTGCCGTCAACCGTTAAAGGTAGATATTGCTTTCATCTTTTGCCACAAAGCGAGGTGTTACCTGCTTTTCAACTGTTTGAACAAACCAACGGGCTAGCAAAGTAACAAGATAACACTCATTTGTTAGCTTTTTCCAAATAGTCACGAAATAATGCACACATTTACATAAAGTTCACCGTTACATATGAATAGTGCGATACAATGAGATTCTGTATATGTATATTAAAGGTATCGGTATATTTTGGTTCTCAAACGTGAATTGAATAAAAAATAGAAGAGATTAATAGATGACTAGATTGAGCTGTGTTTTTAAGATGAACTTGAAGAGAAAAGAAATATTCACATGGATCCCCTTATCTGCCAGATGTTATCAGATCCGTAAAAATAAGATGCAAAAATGAATCTGTCCTTTTGCGACCCTGAGCTAATTAAACACTTCAACAACGAAAGGGACAAAGAGGTCCAGTACTAACTTAACCACATAAAACAGATGGAATGAAAAAACTAACTTCATATTTAAAATATTTGATCAATACGTTGCGGTCGTGTAAGACAAAGGACACTAAAAAAGATTATTTCAGTAGTTCCGAGGCCCTAGAAAAACTTTTATCGCTCAAACGGTTAAAATCTTGTAAACTATTACAGAATTTGGTGAATAATTTCGTTTTGAGGTCTGATGCAGTGAACAATGCCCGTTGAACTCTCGTAGCTTCATTGTCTTGTGGTTTTCTGCATCGCCACTGTCTGCAATTGCGGTAACGGCTTGCAGGAATGCACTGAGAATCTGTAGCTTCATTGTTGCAAAAAAGAACATTGAAATGATAATAAGCATTGTAGGAATTAATTGTCTCATCTGAAAATTTGGTTGCTTATACAGATAAGTTTTGATTTTAGTGTTTTTTTTCAATTAAACCTCACTTAAGTATTTTCTCCTGTGCCGTGGTTGCGTTTACAAACATACAATTTCACATACACTTCGCACCCTGACCCGGAACAACAATTTGTGAATCAGACAGAGTTGTTATGTGTTGTTATAAATGTTTCTAGGTCTAGTCTGTTTATAGATAAAACTTTCTATGTATTTCAAAATCAATGTTGTAGATGTAAATGTTTAAGGAGTGTAACCGGGGAGGCCCTCGGAGACTTGTCCAAAAACATCCATACGTACCTATATCCATTATTTCAAATAACACCCATACAGAGCCAGAGCATGTAGCTAGTATAAGATAAAACATTATAAATCATACTAAAGTATCGTTTGTATGGTAGCAACGTAATGCAAGATGGATGTTCCGCTGTACGTGAGTTGTATACGTAATTTTAATCAAGCACAGAAGACCGTAGTGCTTAATATTTATTTTAATCGAATAAGGATTCAGGGGAGTATAACGTGGTTAATCGTTTTTTCAGTTAATAGTTTTATTCGAACCTTGATCTATGCCGAAATCATTTAAATTAGTTTTGTATTTATATAAACTGCTGAAACAATTTAAACCTTAAGATTGATTAGAGTAAGAGTTTAATTTAAATAATTACCTCCATGGTAATAGTATGCCCACTACGCAACAGAGGAAACATCAAATATGTTTCTTACTTTTTTAATGTGGGAACAACAATGCTATAGAGTTACTTTGCAAGTTTAACAATAGATTTGTGTGTAACTAAATGATAGCTACAAAATACTCAAGAAAATATCTCAAACAGCTATAGGCATCGTGACTAATGTTCTTGATCATATTATACAAAGGAGTTCCTAGGTTACTTTACGTTCAGATACATTGTGAACATAATAAATGAAATTGTAGGTAATTGAATCGTCAACGCGGCTCGTACGCTGTCGTATGAATCACATACTGAGCTGATAAAACCAATCAAATAAGGATTTTTACTGTACCTGGTTGGCTTAGCTCCGGGAATATAAGCGTTGCAATAAGCTAAAACAATTGAATTGATTAAATTCTTGTTACATATCGGAGCGTGTCCGATATGTTTGTGTTTGAGACTTTATAGGAGTCTCACTGGGCGATATTAAATAATAATATATAATAAAATTAAATATTATAAAACTGAAGAATTTGTTTGTTTGAACGCGCTAATCTCAGGAACTAATGGTTTGAATTGAAAAATTGTTTTTGTGACTTTAGGCTATTTAAGATCACGCTACAAATTATAGGAGCCGAGCAGTGGGTGAAACCGCGCGAGATTAGTACTAAATATACTAAAGCGCTGCAAAGAGAAAATTGTCCTAACGTATGTTCCTGTTGTCCATAGGTTGGGATGCGGCGGACGAGAAGGCGCCATTCCTTCGCAACGAGCCGGTGAAACTGACGCCGGCTTGGGAAGGCAACAACCTGCCAAATGACACGCTTAACTTGAAAGGTTAGTACATAAAGAGAGAGAGAAGAGTCCCACGAAAATCAAGTGATGCCGAGAGAGAGAAAGAACTACATACTACATAGCTCTTACTGACAAAGGTCCAGCCAATTAGAGTCCAGCCCAGACACTAACTCTACAAGCCAAAAACAGTTTACCTTCGCCAAAAGATACAAAGTCACTGTCCATTATCTGTGATAGTTCTAGTACGAAAATTTCCTTTGAGGCACATGAATTCTATTGGTGAAAGCACTATGTTAACTTTAACTACGCCCACACAGGATACAATCTAGACTACTAAAGTATCAAGGCTTCGAAATTCCAACCTAAACGCGATTCCCGAAACGAAATACTTTAAGATAAAGTTTTCGTACGAGACATGTTAAATTCATTGATTTATGGATAAGGCTTACTCGAAGATTTCACGTCAAGAAACCGCTATTTTGTATAAGTATGCATTTTAATCAGACTTGAACGAAGTGATACGTCTCCTCTGGTCTCCTAAGGACTAAGGACCTGATCACATACACACATCCTATTCCTATAAGTATAAAGAAAAAAACGTAATGTTCGTTTTCTTTTCCTTATTAAATTTTGGACCACAATATTCCCATATTATTCTTGAATAGGATATAATTAATTAGACGTTCAATTTCATTTCTTGTCGGAACGTAATCTGCTCTTAATGCCACATAGAATAAGCCGAAAATTACTTCCAAAAATATATTCGTGATAGGTTGATTCTCCGTGTGTGTCGAGTGCTCGGATTGGCTGTCAAATTGACACGCTCGACATGAAAGGTTGTTAACGCGCCAGGGAAATTAATCTTTCGAAAGCTTACAGGCCCAAAATATCTGCGATTCTTCTGAAAAAAATTATAATACAACTGATATCTCCGTATTTATAAAGGAAATCGTCACCTACGCACTTAATTAGTGCCCTATTACTTCTTATTATTATACTTCGAGTTTCTCTAAACCGGTTGGTAGTTACGTAACTTTTTTTGCTTGTCGTTACCTTTATCTTTTTATAAATATGACAGGTAAAAAAACACATAGATTTCTATATGATTTGATGATTTAAAAACCCCTAGTAAAAATAATTCATAGTTAAAAACTAATTCAATCATGAAATGAAACCAGGTCTGTATTTAATTTATCCTTAAATACAAAAAAAGTAAACACAAACTGATTCAAATATCCGTTAAAATTTATGAAAAGCGCCATCTACCAGAGCTTGACAGCACAACCGAGTTCTACATCGCGCAAGCAAAGTTTTCGTGACTCATACCTCGGTATAGTAAAATTCGAGCCAATGCCTAATGATTATGTTGCCCACTTCCAACGCAGTGGCCTCAGTTTCATATAACTGGGCGTCACATTATTATATCAGTGGGTATAATAACGCTTCACTAAAACACATGCAGGTTCCAGTGAATTTGTGTGCACCTAAGTATTGCGACAACTTTTATTATTGCTAAAAGCTAAAAATATTTGAAAAATATCTTAAATAAAACATCAAAATATGAAATATTATTTAATTAAAATGCTCACAAGGGATATTCAACTATGAGAAGTTGTAGAAAAAGCATAAAATAAAATATAACAAGCACAAAAAGTGAATGTCGAATTTGAGATTCGAACTCGAGTCCATTTAGTTCACGAGTTTCGGGTTCTATTCTCTGGAATGGTGAAACTTTTTGAACTTTTTGCATATTGTTTTTGTAAAATTATTATGTCAGTAAATAATATTAATTTAATAAATTTTCAAATATTTTTACACTTTTGCATTGACAATGTCTTTATCATAAAGGCTCCTTAGTCGAGCTTTTATTTATATTAAACTTACCACCAGATATAATAAAAAAAAAACAAAAATAATAAACGATCACCAAGATTCAGACAGTATAATCAAAGTTTTCACTTCTTGCTGTCCTTTTTAAGGAAAATAAGTCCATAATTATCCATAGTACATTGATCACGACATGTTTGATGTGATTGATGAATGATTGAAATGATGTAGGGTTACAAGTTTTATCCTATCTTAATTTGTCCAAGTACAACCTACTAAAAGTATTTTTAAACATACTAATGTAAATAGCAACTAGTAATAAATAAGCTTACATATTATATCGTGTTTAATATATTTTATAATCTTACGAATTAATTACCTATTTCATGTGCAAGATCTAAGATTGTCAAAGCATTTTCAATTTTTAACACCTTTATATAACTAAGTTTCGGAGACTACTTTGACGTCCGTGTCCGGATTTTGTGCCAACTTCATTTCATTATGTACAATAAAGTATAAATAAATACTTTCCATTCACAATATAAAATAAGTGACTCTTCAAAATTAAAATAATTAAATTGAATGTAAAATTTCAGGTATCGCAATGGACTTAGCAGCTCCTAGAGACAGATGGCACATAATATTCCTGACATTGATGCTGCATGGCCTCGGTACCCTCACCGCGTGGAACATGTTCATCACGGCGAAGGATTACTTCGTGAAGTACAAGCTGGCCAGCGCTCCCGCCTACTCGGAACACTACCTCGCTTACGTGGGGTGGGCCAGCCAGATCCCAAACCTTGTCTTCAGCTGGGTCAACGTCTTTTTGACGTCCAAGTATGTATATTTATATTATGTACCAGTTTCTCTTCCATGTGCTGCTCGACTCCTATTGGTCGTAGTGGTATTTATGTCGGGTTTTCCTTTCTGGTACTATAACTCCAGAACGCACGAACCGATTTCCACGGTTTTGCATCGTTGGAAAGGTCTCGGGCTTCGTGAAGTTTGTAGCAAAGAAAATTTCAACAGCAAAGCGGGCAAATCGAAAACCAGATGGCTTGGTGGAAACGGATTTCGCCGGGATTACTAGTATTCTATATGCAATGTTCTATCTAAAATAAAATTAATAAGTTCTAAGTGATGATTCATCACAGTTCTTTAGAATTCAAACAAGAAATTGAAAAGGAAAAATATAAGTGTAAATAAACCAAGAGTCAAACTATTGCAACAGTTTTGTGATATAAAGATAAATAATAATAAAAAAGCTGTAACTACTTACAAACTTATTAAAACTATAACTTAGTATCGATTTTGTTCTCAAAACAATAGTTAAAGACTAGGAATAAAGTAACTATTAAATACCTGAAGATAACCCCTTCTATTCTAAATCTTCTAATGACAAAATCAACCACTAAAATGATACTTCTGAACCCACGTAATCCGATTATGTTTATCCACATAATGTTTCATCCGAGCCCAGTTAGTTCAGGTGGGTAAAAGTTTTTAATTAACTCTTATCAAGTTCTGTGTACTTAACCGTGGACCGTTGCCCAAATTTTAATTGGTTCCGTAAATTACCATGATTCAGTCCCAAGTAGCGGATGTTACTAAAATAAGTTTATATTAATTTATCAGGATATCATAATGTCGATACGGTTTTAACATATTGTGTTTAAAAAAAGGAATACTTACCTAAAAAATAACATTTAATGCACTCTTGAATGAGAGCTTTTTATGAATTATAAAATACCACCACATAGATTGGACATGAGCGAAATCTAAGAAATTGAGAAAAACAGTATGCGCCACGAAATTACGCTACAGTATTACTCATAGTTTTAAATGTGGAAATATAAACTACTTTCTATCCACCGTTTAAAACGAGCAAAAACGTAGACTTTCCAGCTTTGTATAAATCAAAGTTAACCCCTACTTTAAACATAGTTTGCAACTTTGGAATAGGCATTCAGCCAACTAGCTTTTTTAAAATATTTGCATAAGTTTCGAGATGCAACGAGCTGCTGAGGGATTAAAATGATTAAAAGTATGCACGTGGTGAGTTTTTGTTATAAAACTAAGTACGAGCTAAGGGAATGCAGTATTAAAAGCTGTTTTTTTTATAGCAAGATTGTTTATCGTTGAAAAGGATTCTTTTAAGTTAAAGGTGTTTTGCTTTTGAAAGCCTTTCGTCGTTTTTTAAATACTATTTATTTTATGATTCATCTTTCACCTCTGGCATTTTTTCCAATGCTAGCGATACGTCTGTTTGCAAGTGTTGTTATTTTTTTAGAGGTTGCTATTCATCATCAGCCTATAAATGCCCACTGCTGAGCAAAGGCCTCTTCCCATACGGAGAAGGTTAGAGCATTAATCACCACGCTTGCTCAATGCGGGTTGGCGATTTCAAATTTATAATTAGAAATTATAAGTCCAGGTTTCCTCACGATGTTTACCTTCACCGTAAGTCAGTGGTGTCTAAATAATCATAGAAAGTACATATAACTCGGAAAAAGTCACATTGGTACTTGCCAGGTTTCGAACCCGCACCCTCATGCATGAGAAGCGGGCGTCTTAACTTCCGGGCCACCACGACTTGCTTTTTTAGAGGTTATATTTATCAAATGTGTATTTCCCTAAGGTTTAGGTAATTAACTAAATGTAAAAGATCTTACCCCAGACTCTTTATCTAAAAGTGGTCTAAACATTGTATGTAATTTTACAATGATATATTTACCTAAATCGATGTTGACTTATAATGAATTTAAATAATCTTTGTGTATTTTATACGACCAATTTAATACAAAAAGACATACCAAGATTGTTTAAACCTATCTATAATGTGTATGCACCCACTACCCAACGCAGTGATATTCAGCAGTCTATCTGAATGATCATATTTATAAAAGTGGGAATATTAATGCTTTACTAAAACACACGCTGGTTTTATTTAATAAACTTGTGTGCACCTAAGTTTTGCTACAAATAAATGATAGTATAAGGAATATAACAGTTCTGTTGGAATAATGAAGTTTTATTACCGTATTTATAGAGTCCAAGTTCTTATTTTTTGAGGGACAAAAAGAATAAATGACTTTCTTCTAAATGGCTGCGGCGAGAGGGAGTGTCTATCTTACTGACTCAAAACTACCACCCCTGTTCTTGACCCGCAACTGTGGGAGACCAAGGGATCTAGGGTTCAGTTCTCAGGTCAAAAATAAATAATAATAGTGCACTTTAATGAGATACTGCATGTTGTATTTACCTTTTCCCTACAGTTGATAGAAGAAGTGTAAAATTCTATATTTTCTTTTTCTAGAGGCAACCTTACAGTCCGTATTGTATGGTCTTTGATCATGGAGGTACTGATCTTCGTATTTACGATCATCCTCGCCATGTTGGACACGTCAAACTGGCCCGGCACCTTCTTCTGGCTCACGATGATATCTGTATTCCTACTTAATGGTAAGTTTCTAGTTGTTTTTTGTTTTTTTTTAAGTATGTTGGTAGTAAGTTCTTAACAATATGTGTTCTATTTATTTACCAAAACGTAGGCAAATGTATTAAAATAACGGCTCACTCACGTAAACTATTACAGAAAAGCTCTACTAATTTCGAGTCACAACGGGACTCTTATCCATGTGCAATCTGCGTGGTAGCTTTTCTCATCTCATATGAATAAGCTCATTTAGTATGTCAATTATTAAGTACATAAATTAGTATAAAAATACTTTTGGAAGTACTAAATATTATACTTAGAAGAATCGTAAAAGAGAATGAAGAATAGAATCTTCACTAAATAAAATGCATATTATTATTACCTACAACCTTATATTTAAACAAATTTTTGTTCCCACTACGCAACAGAGGTAGCATTTGAAATATGCTTCTTACTTTTTTAAGTGGGTACAATAACGCTTTTCTTATTCATATGCATAATAGTTTTATATAATTATTGTGCATATAAGTTTTGCTACACTAAAATACTTTTATTTAAACAAGTTTGTATTTATTTAGTCAAAACAGAGATCTGTAAATAATATTCATATCTTGGTTTTATGTCGGTAGATATGAGTTAATATATCTATATATGTATATATTTATAAAAAAAATTGCAAAAATTTTTTCGTGTTTTATTATTTGTTGGTTGCGTTTGTTATTTAGCAATGCGCGAATAAAAAGGCGGCCGTAAATTCTACAATAAATTCTATTTCAACAAAATTGATGAAAAATAAAATATTTAGCGAAAGTTGTGTGCGTCTCAGACATACCACACTCACATACCTAGAAGGAATTAACAGTCTAAAATACAGTTGCTTTACTATTTGATTACAAAACCCTTCTCTAAATAAGTCTTCAAAAACTATCTCCTCATTACTCTCAATATCATTCGTCCCTTTAGCTATCTCGGGTCAATGGCCAACGTCTCTTCAATTTAACATGTCGTATCACTAATACAGAGGTCAGGGCTCAGATTTCAATTATTCAACCAGTCACAATTTTGAATAAGGCATAAGAATGCATTCTGTATTTATAAATCATTTGATAAAAGTGACTTTTATGGCCATTTAATGATATTAATCTATGTATGTAGGGCATTCTTAGAATGTTCGGGATGTATTGATTCTTATAAGTGGTATAGTTTACTATACATTGTTTTGCACGCTTCAACCGACGGATTTGTCCTCGTAGATTTGCCTATGTCCTTCTACATACTCCAAAAGTTCTTTTTAAGATACACTTTATGAGACATACTTTCGCATTTATAACAGTTGGAATATTTGGCTTTTTGCACATTAAATATTATTATCTATGGTAAATTATGACAAGTTTCATCAGTACATCTAAATCAATTCAGTCATTTTACGTAGTAATAAATCAGTTATTTTATCATATTAATTTAATTTTAAGTAAGTAACCGTTATCAGTACCGAATGTTAAAAGGTTAAGGCCGCTATATAATTTATTTGGTTGATAGACTTGTCAGAATAAACGCGTTTTTCAATATGTTTTGTTTACTTTGTTATTAATGTTTGTATGTATGTACCGGCCATGAAAAGATAAACGATAGAAGTTGTTAGAATTAAGTTATTCATGAATTTAATAAAATAACAAGGGTTTTATATTGATGATTCTGGAAAATAGGCTCTTGGAATTATTTATTAATTCTAGGCTATTTGACCTGACTGAATTTGTTTAAGTGATGAAAACGTAACGTAAACCTACTCATAATCACATACCTTTGTTAGATTACACATAATAATTGGTTTATCCAACTTAGGTACTGGCCTTCCATCTATTGGTATGGTACCTGTGACATTATGTAACTTGAAATAAAAGTAGGAGAAATTAGAATAAAACCCTAAAACTATATAGAATAACGAGTGCATAACGACAGACATTTTCTCGAGCGAATTAACTGTTCTTATTCACGAAATCGCGTCGGCGTCGCAGCGACGTCGCCCAACCGACTCCAACCGTTGTGAACTTGTGACTTGTGAAACTAGTACCTAAAGCTTTCTATAAATTTTGTATGCCTACCAATAAGTAACTATATAAAAAGACTACTATTATGTAAATATGTTTTTACAGGATTCAACGCGGTCTTCCAGAACTCGGTTTACGGTGTAGCGGCCCGGCTACCCCCAAGTTACACTGGCGCCGTGGTACTAGGTAGCAACATTTGCGGAACCCTAATTGTGTTCCTAAATTGGTGCTCGGTGTTCTTCGACAACCCGCGTACCGCTGCTATCTACTATTTCATCGGGGGAATGTTCGTGCTCCTTATTTGTATTGACACGTACTTCGCATTGCCTTTGAATGTAAGTAATAGTTTTACTAATTTTATACTTTTTAATGTATTAAGTGATGAAAAACGCGAGTTTTTATAAATGGAAATTTGTTACACTTTTATGTAAAATTGAAAGAATAAATTGTGATGCAAATTGCTATCGAAATACAGTATATAGTCTGTGGAAAACATGGCTTCTTGTTTATCGAGTAACGCGGTCAAAGCCGCTGGCAGAAGTTAGTGCTAAGCACACCCTTCAAAAAATAAAAGGCTTTAGGGACGATATGTTCTTAAATATTAGGCCATCTTTTATGATCCCACTACGCAACAAAGAAAACATATAACAAATGTTTTTTACTTTTTTAAGTGGGTAAATTAATGCTACAGGTACATGACTGTGACTTAGATTTTAACATAGATCTATGTTACATACATATAGCTACATACCTATTTATTAGAATTTTTAAGTATAGGTAAAGTTCTCGGGTTCTCGATTACTACATGAGAAACAAAAAAATGATTATACTTTTAATTTAAGAAGATTGTTGTAAATAACGTAGAAAAATGTGTCTGAATTTTTAATAAATGGTTAATGTATACTATGAAAAGATTTTCAACTCTACCCTGCAATAAAGTCTACTATGTCTTCGATAAATTTGACAAAAGTTCCTCAAGTAAAGCTAACATCAAACGTCTCTCTTTTACAGAAATTCTACCGCTACCACGAGTCATTGCAGCAGCAGATGGTAGCCGACCGCGAGGACAATAAGAACGCCAACACACCGCACGTGTCTCGCTTGAAGATCTGCGGCCAAGCGTTCGTGCAGTTGTACAACGTGTTCATCGTATTCTTTGTCACCCTCTCCGTCTTCCCTTCTGTTATATCAGGTAAAGATCGTCGAGTTGTAGAAAAAGGCGTTTTTGAGATGATTGATGATTTGATCTCCTAAACTGTAGCTGGCAAATAACTATCCGAAAGTGGGATAGTACCGTTCTTTAAGTCACAGTTTAAGGATAGGTCGGTAAACGATCACACGCTTGGTTAGCAATCGGCGCCGCCCATGGACACCAGCAATCTCGAAGACTTACAAGTTTATTACTGGCCTTTTAGGGTTTGGTATTTGAGGAATGCAGGTTCCGAAAAGTGGAACGGAGGGGGAGATTTGAACCTACTTACAAGATAATGATGAAATCATCGTAGATGCCTTTAGGCGAATATTGCTTACACCAAGGTTCTAGAAAATGAAATGAAATCGCCCCTATTAAATTTTAAAAGTCTTTAAATAATATCCCTTCAAGGACTCAACTCAACGATAATTGTACTTTCTATCTTTCTAGATATCTCACCTAACGTTGAAGGGTTTTTGGGTGATAATTTCGTCCGAATGACTTGCTTCTTGACATTCAACCTCACAGCTACAATCGGTAACATCACTGCAAGCACATGGCAATTCGTAAGTATTTCTCTACATTTCATATTATTTAAAAAATACATGTATTTGTTATATAGAAAAAAAGAAATTCAGACTAAATAACGCTTTTAAAAAATAAAAAAGTAGTCCTTATAATTCATTAAATTCAAGAAGTATTTAATTTGTATTTACGCATCACAAGATTAAATAAAGACATCATTGACCACAAAAAAGCAGAAAACCGAATGTATTGTGTCGTATCATGTATCTGGTCATTCAAACTGTCCAGCTAAGATTCTTATTATTATATTCTTAAAGACTACTATTATATTTTTACGACTAATTGATGTCCTTCAGTCAAAAAAACATTTTAATAAACTTATAAAATGTATATCTTAAAACTTAACAATATTAATTCTTCTCTCCAGCCTAGCCCCCGTTGGCTGGTAGTATTCACAACTCTCCGTATACTGTTCATCCCGTTCTTCCTGATGTGTAACTACAAGCCAGCTGACCGAACCTTCCCAGTCTTCATCACCAATGATTGGGTCTTCTGGGTAGCTTCTGCTTTACTCGGATGGAGCTCTGGACATGGAAGCTCGCTTGCCATGATGTATATTGGAGGGTGAGTATTTGTTTTATCACTTTTTCCATAACTTAATTGTTATTGGGCTGGAAAACACGGTATATATATGTCTACAATTCTACATAAAAAAAATGATTTGAAGACTGGCCTGAAGCTTGGTCAAAAATTTTTCTTTTTTATAAGATTGTATAAACTAGCTATTTCGCTTAGCTTCGCCCGCGTCCCGGGGGAACTATTTCCCGTACACGACTAAAATATAGCCTACAGCACTCGGGAACATTGTAACTATCTATCAGTGAAAGAATTTTGGCAATCCGATCAACAACGGTTCCAAAGATTACCCCTACATACAAACTTATTATTATATTAGCTTCCGCCCGGGGCCTCGCCCGCGTGGTATGTTGATAATAAAAACCGGCCAAGTGCGAGTCGGGCTCGCGCACAAAGGGTTCCGTAGCATCGTTTTCAGTGTAAGCACAATAACTTAACCAAAATTACAGTTAAATCAACCTATCTCAAAAACTATAAGAGATACTTTGATCAAACCAAAAATCGTTGAAAGAGTTAATTAGCATGCATCACCTCTATTTTTTTTAGAATTTTATACCCCGTAGTTATAAAAATAGAGGGGGGGGACATACTTTTTACGACTTTGAGAGCTGATATCTCAAAAACCGTTCACTTTAAGAAAAATGTTTTTTAGAAAACTTTATATCATTTTAAAAGACCTTTCCATTGATACCCCACACGGGTATGTACATCGAAAAAAAAATTTTCATCCCTCAGTTACATGTATGTGGGGCCCCACCCCCAATTCTTTTTTTTACTATTTAGTGTCATAATTTTGTAGCGGTTCATACAACACATATTCCCATCAAATTTCATCACTGTAGTACTTATAGTTTCCGAGTAAATCGGCTGTGACAGACGGACAGACGGACAGACGGACAGACGGACAGACGGACAGACGGACATGACGAAACTATAAGGGTTCCGTTTTTGCCATTTTGGCTACGGAACCCTAAAAATGTACCCTATGTCCTATTCCCGAGTTTATCCTATGCTTGTGTCAAATTTCACCCAGGTCCGTCCGTTATAATATTAGTGAGATAGTTAGATTATTTAATAACACGATAATATTTCAATTTCTTGTAATTCAATGGCTGAACTTATTTTGTACAAGTCAAACATATAGGTAAATATGCATGTCCAATCTAATTTCAACTTTGTATTTCTAGCACGGTGGCTCCAGAAAACGCAGGTACAGCGGGTATGATCGGCGCGGCCGTCCTAGTGACGGGATTGGTAAGCGGCATTACGTTCACTCGGCTCTGCCCTATTATCGTCACGGCCGACCTTTGGCGCACCGCCTAGCGATCACTACACTACGTCTCTACGGCGTGGAACATATTTACTAGAAGACTAGGACAGTAATGACGTCACAATAATGACGTCTTACAAGTGAAGTGTTGTTCAGGAAAGTGATCATGCAATCAAGACAAAGTTGGACAAAAGTGATATAAGGATTGTGACGTTCAACAAAATGTGTTCTATAGCTATATATTATATGCAATTTATATTATTTGTTGACAATGTATACAGTTTGCCAAAAACTAATAGTTTTATCTGATTTCTTATTCATTTTGTGTGTGACTTCTATTTATTTGTTCAATCTTATATTTGTACCTTGCCATGTCATTCCTACACGGTCCTGTTGTTAAGAAGCATTTACTATTATCATCAGTCTAAGTATAATGTTAGCAACTTAAGTTGAAACCAAATATTTGTCTCGAAGTACCTTTTCTGTACTAAATATCTCATGATTATTCTTTCATTTGGTGCTTAACATATAAGAAATGTTTTGTCCTATATTAGCAGTTGACACACAAAAGTTATGTAGCTTGATTTAAGGGCTAAAATGGTATTAAATATAATCCTATAGACATAAGACTGTTTGAAGATATTAGTTCTGCCACGAGGCTATAAAAAGTCAAAATGCTACTATTAGCTTTGACTTGAGACATCATAGAAATATTAAGGAATTGGACGATAGTAAGAAAATAAAAAACAACAACAAATTTAGTAGAGAATGGACATTGTGTTTTCTTTGACATGAAAAGTTTAAAAACCAACAATTCAATTGAAATATCAAAAAGGATGTTAGGTAAATGGATAATATAAAAATCGATATATAAAATTATATTTGTAAAGTTAATGTTTGTAAGTGCGTAAAATGTTTAATAGTTAGGACACTACATATTGTGAAGTTAATATATTTGTTATGTACTATTATTGCGTGGTGCCGTCTATTGTTTCTGTTGCCCTGTTATAATGTGTCTAAAACATTTTTTTATCACATCAAGTTGGGTATACTTACATACTATTTTGCTCTAAATATTCTAAATCGAGTAAAAATCAAAGGGTTTGCCATCAAACTTAGAACGCAAAGACATCTCGATCGAATTAAATACACGTAGTTTCCTTCGCACCAATTCGAACTGAACCGATGGTTTGTTCAGAAAATTATACATTACATGTTGATAAATATGTGGACGAAACCCCATTCTATGGTTTTTAGTCGAGTTGGTACCTTAATAGAGTAAATCTGTATTAGTACCCAACTTTGAACTCCTCTTAATACAAGAAATAACGGCAGGTTTAATACATGTTTGTATAAAAACTATATTGAATCCTTTGCAGGGTCAACGGTATATTTATTTTGTGTGTTCTTTTATTTTATTTGACAAATGCACTAATCCAAAGTGCTAGTGCAAGTGAATAATATACTAAAATTATGTTTAAGTAATAATTTGAACCCCTTAGCACAAATTTAAAATGCATGTGAATGAAATTTGTATGAAATTTAATTAGAACACGGCTTTCAATGAAAAAAATATGGTTGTCATTCATATGTATTTCATAGTTAAATTCTAACAAAAATATGTTTTTTTACAGACTGAAACACTAACACTTTTCGATTAGCTGTAAGACCCTAGAAAATTGTGGATTTTTCTCAACATAACTAGGTATAACAAATTTATTTTAGATTAATTTGCTAATTGACTTAATTTTTGTTAGTATTTTTGTGTGTGACGCATTTGACAATATGATTTGCGAATCGCGGATCGTAAATGTAGTTATGGCTACTTTCACCTAGCATTCTAGTTTTCTTTTTTAATTTGTTGAATGAAACCAAATAAGTGACTATTGAACAATATCTGGATTTTTGTTTTGAATACCCAGCATGAACATTGTTAGTCCTATTTATTTAAAAGTAAAATGTTATTTTTTAAATTTTCCGATTTTTATTTTATTTTCACCTCATCCCTCTTAGTTGTATGCGTGTAAGTAGAAATGTATATAAAGTAGTTAGGTACGTTATGTGCAACAATTTGAAGTCTATGGATCCATTACAGAATCTTGAAGAGGTCGAATTTCGCACTGGTGCATTCGTACTTCTCCATTGCTCTCGATTCTCTAAGATTCTGTAATGGTTTCGTTATTAGTAAAATGCTTTGTAATCTGTGTATGAAATAGTACATTTACCTACGGAATAGATACATTCATGATAATAAAATAGGAATTCAAACAATAAACGTGCATACTCCTTTTTAAAAGGCTGGCGACGCGCTCTGCCACTTTTCTGGTACTGCAGGTGTCTATGGGCGGCGCTGATCACTTCAGGTGATCTGACTGCTTGTTTGCCATCTATTCCATAAAAAAAGAAATTATAAATGTAACTCAATGACTATAAAAAAGAACAAATGTATCAATCTATGAAAGTTTTGAATATCTTAATTTGATATACAGTTTACAAAGCTATGTTACCTTACCTTAAGTACAAAATAAATATTATAAATAGTTTACTATCCAAGGAGGTCGATAGTTTTGGTTCCGAATTGCTTCTTCGTGATCCGTATTTACGATGGAAGTTTCCAAATGGCTCGGGGTTTTTTTTTTTTGGACTTCAAGTTCCTATTATCAATGTTATTACTATTCATCTTACTAAAAGTGGTATTAGCAAGAATTTAATCTTGTCTTAATGTTAGGAAGCAGCTATTATCCTATAGTTTTGCCCATAATACAGCATCTACTTATTACATTTTAAAAAGTGAGGCGATTAGAATCCGGCATCGTCGACTTATTATTTCTAAATTCAGATTTTTATTATCTAAACTAGCGAAAACGTTGCCAAGCCAGTTGGGAACTGCATATTGTCTCGTATGAAGAAGCATCGCTTAGATTGGTGTTGTGTACCCTGGTGCCTTATACATCTTCCATTGGTTTCAAACACCGCGTAGAATAAGAATATTATTTGCATAAAACAGACAATTATTTGTTAAAGTAAATTTACGACTATAGTTACAAGCTAATAAAGTCCATTTTACCAAAACCTGTCAAACTTAAAGCAACATTTTGGGTGTCTGAGAAATTATTAGTACCCAGATGACAAACCCAAATGGTCCTCGTGACAATCTTATTGTAAGTTTTCCAAAAAAAAATCTGATGACAATAAGGAATTACTGAAAATTGCCATATTATAGTGTTAGGAGAATTTATCAGAGAAATTATTTAATATTATTAAATGAAGTAAAATAATTATTTGAAATTGTTAGGGCTTGTAAAGAAATGCACTTGCTTATTACACATCCATGCCATTTCTACTAAATTATTCTAAACTATAACTAGATAAACTACTTATATAACTAAATCAAAACATACCTATACTTAATAAGTAAATAAACATATATTTAATCTAGAATCTAAATAAAACTATACATACAAATTTTAAACAAAATTAATACTTTATACTTACCATAGTCTTGAATCTTCTCTAACAAATTACACTTCTATGAAATACCTTCCCTAAATAAATTGCTGTAATCTTATCAATTTTAAGTTATGACAATAAACATTTATTTAACTAATTTTAAACTCGATTAAATAAATATAATTACTTATCTGTATCAGGACTTGTCCCTTTGCACCTTACCATTTCTCTTTTTGCAAAATAACTTATGAATACTATGACAGGGATCGTCCTGGGCTATCAGTCGACATTTATATAAAAGCTTTGCTTATTCTTATCAGCCTTTCATATCAAATATTTATTCTAATATAATACACAATAAAAGTAATACATAAAACATATAAAATAAAGTAATACATAACTCTTTAATTAAATAAGTAAATAAATAAATGATTATGAAAACGATACTCGCGTATATAAAGATATAAATATACTCAATTTTTTCTCTTATGCTGTACCTACACTTTTAAAAGGGTACCTTAAAAAGCACTCCTTAGTCGAAGGCTGTGAATTAATAGCTTTAACCTTCCCATTGTAGATACCACATGCACTCTATTCTGTTCAGATGTAAATTAAATTAATTCTTCAAGTTTATAAAAAATGCGTAAGTTGTTTTATTTTCCCGCTAAAATATTGAAATGTCATTGCGACATTAACAATAAAAAAATATGTTACCTACTAATCGGTGATATGTAAATGAAATCGATACCATAAATAAAACTAATTAAATATATTCCTAACCACCTAAAAGCTTACTCTACCTAAAATAACTTACCAAAAATTAACCTAGTAGGTATTAATTAATTTTCATCTGAACAGTCAATTTCCTATCTTCATTAATCACCTGTTTTACGAGTACAAATATTTTTTTGTTCGAATTTATTCCTATACTTAGGTCTAAATAGTACACTTTACCCCTCCTTAGGTATGTATATGTATCACTACTTATATAGTATTTATATACATTCTTATATAGCGTCCTTGTATATACTTAGTGCATTTGTACTATGTTTATATGTATATTAGTAAAGTAGAATGTGTATGCTGCACGACCATTTCTTACACTTTCATACTCGAGATAGTCAATGCTAAAAAATAGTTGGTTTGAAATGTAATAATTTCTACTCGAGAGTACTACAGTAATGATATCCGTTTTTTAGCGGGAAATGAGCAGTATTTATTACATTTTCGACCTGCTTGCCTATTATTCAATTCGAATTTCGAATAAAAATATATTACGAACCTATTAACCAAACTATTTCAAATTTCAAAATCTACATTTTATAAAAATGAATATTTAGATTCAATGAAAAAAACAATGAATTTATAAAGTAGTAACTGAAACCATACCTATATGACAATAATGACGAACTTATAAACATGTTTGTACCCGTACCTGATATTTTTCCACTTTTCCACACATTTGTGTACCTATTGAAGTAATACTTATTATTAAGAGACACTTTTCCACTTCTATTCTTCATCTGATATTGTGCTAAACGAGTTAAAATGAATAAAGTAAAGGAATATTATATGCTGGAGTTTTATTTCTATTTATGACAACTTAAAGCGTAAAACTAAAAATATTCTGAAGGAAATACAACAAAGAAAGAATTGTTCTAGGTATAAGGCGTTCCTCAGGGAATAGTTTTGGGTCCTAAAGGAGAAAAATATTTCAAAATCAATATTTTATTGTTTTTTTATACACGAACGGCCCTTTGGTATTTACACTATGTAACAATAATAATACCTACGTTCTTCCCAAGTGAAATCGTAGACTTATTTCCTTCGATATCCAACACACATAATGTAGGCAGCTGTTTACATAAACGAAAGTTTTACTACTAAGTAGCAGCTAAAAGGGTAGACTCCTGACTAACTCAATCATTCTTGCATTAAGTAAGTCCTATCTAGTAGAATAATTTATAATAATTTAGTTAAATCACTTTCATTTGTTGTAATATTACAATGAAACGATTTCAAGCATAGCTTAATCTGTACCCACTAACTTTTCACTTACTAACGGGTAATCATCACATAATCGAAGTGTTAAATTTGTACCGTGGATCAGATCAAGACACAAAAAATTCTCAACATATTGATCAAACATTATTAACTGTATTAAACAGTCAGATTACCAAAACAATATTGAAGCTTACTAGTAAAATAAACGAAAAAAAAATTTTTTTTTTCAATAGTTTGGTCAGAAGTCAAGACAAACGTACAAAGAAATAAATAACTAAGTTAAGTAACAAATGTAAACGATTTTAAAGGAAGAAGACACTCAAGAAAAGTGTTGTTGTTAAT